TATATACATATATATATACATATATACAAATTATATATACATATATATATATATACATATATTTATATTCCCCTCCTTTTAAACTACTACCCCTCCCTAAACCAATATTTCAACCCCAAACCCTTGTACCCGCCTGTCCCCACCCCACCCCAGTCCGGTGACATCAACACCAAGTTCATCGAGCAGGTCTACCCCGACGGGTTCAAAACCACGGAACTCTCCGCCCACGAGATCAAGTCTCTCATGGCTGTGGCCGCCATGATGAACGATCGCATCTACCAAAGGTCCTACGAGTACTTGGGCACCAACGAGTCGGCCAACCCCAACGCACCCGCCCACACACACACGGCCAAGCACCCCAAGAAGTACATGGTGCTGCTGGGCGAGGAGGAGCTGCCGGCCGAGGTGACGTACGGCACCGGAAGTGACTGTACCGTGCGCGTGGGTGAAGAGACCATCACGCTTAGTGGCGAGGTGTGTGCTTGTTGTATGTTGTATGCTACATGTTATGTTGTAGGTTATAGGTTATAGTGTGTGGGGTGTGCACCTGAAAGGCCTGGGCGGTGTCCCTGGACTGGGGCGTAGTTCCCATCCTGTGTCTTGTTGACGTGGAAGGTGGACGGACGGTTGCATTGTAGTATAATGAACTAAACCACACCCAAACAACAACAACCAGTGCCTCTATCGACAGGCACTCTAATTGCCCACTGTATATCCAACAGTTCAATCTGGACGGGACGATGCCATGTTGTACTCAGGTTGCGTTTGCTGGTGACTGATAATGTGTCTTGTATGTATGTTCGATTTCTTTCTCGCTAGCGTACATTGTAACTCAATATTGTTTGTAATTCAAACTATCTTTCACCAATTATGGCCGTAACTCAAAGATTGTACCTGACCATTCACTTCATCGGTTACAGTGGAGAGTTCACGCACCTCTGATGGAGGCGAAAATCAACGGCAAGCCCATCACCGTCCAGCACTTGGGCTCTGACTCATACATGATGCAGGTACGTTTATTTGTGGTGCATGTGCGTTTATAGACTAGATACACACACTTCCTTGAATATGTAAGTGCTCTTATACAAGATGCCAATACGTTCATACATTGACGCACGCTCTTTTGCACATGATACCGATATGTTTGTGCATGATGCAGATTCATTAGCGGGATTTAGGGTTTTAAGAGTGGCCATCAATCTCATTATTATATTAGTACACCACCAGTCACCAACACACTATCGGCAGGCGCACCTTACCCTCTCACCCATCACACGGTGTATGTGTCATGTGCCCCACTCTTCCTTATCCCTTTGTACCACACCTCATCCCGTCCACTCTACCTACCCATTCACCACAGCTTGGATTCAAGGGTTCTATCTACCCCGTACGCATCTTGACCGAGACCCAGCGGGCGCTGTACACACATATGCCTGAGCCAGTGGAGCTAGACACATCACTGATGGTGGTGTCGCCCATGCCTGGGCAGATTGTGGCCATGAACGTGAAGGTCGGAGACACGGTAAGTGCACTCTAAACAATAACATGTTAAGTATGCCTGAGGTGTTTGTACCAGCTCTGTGTGGTTGTGCTACAGTTGAGATGTATTGTCCTTTGGCGCTCGATGGCTGATTCGAGATGTGACCGGTGTTGTACTACGTGGCGGTGGGCGTAGGCGAAACGCGTGCAACGCTTTACCTCAACCTGCACATGTTCATACGCTGTGGTGTTTGCTTCTGTACCATACATTGACCATAAACGTTTTCCTCTCGTCCTCACATTGGAATGCGCGCTGTCGCTGTTTTATTATTGGTCTATATTAACATGCTATTACCATGATCTATACTAAAATAAACTAAAATACTATTTCCCAACGGACTATACTAACATACTATTTCCCATTGGTCCGCACCCATAGGTCGGTGAGGGTACGGTTGTCGCCGTAGTAGAAGCCATGAAGATGCAGAATTCTTTGCGAGCCGGCTGCTCAGGCAAGATTATCTCTATCAACGCACAACCGGGAGAAAACGTTTCAGCAGATGACATCATCATTGAGTTTGAGAAGGCACCCGACGCAGCCATCTAAGAGCGTACGGTTTTAGTGCTCACGCGTACATAGTTAGTTCCGATTAAATGTAATAAGTTTAACTTGAACCTTCGGCAAGCGGAGTGGCCTTGTAGTCCAATACAATACATGTCGTGTGCTGAGCGTGTGTATTGTATGCCATGGCCACTTTCTCATTCACTTATTCATGAATGGCTTCTCTCGTCGTAGTCGTTCGTGGGTGTGTTGATCACTCTCTTTTGACTTGTTTGTACGTCATTCCGTATACCCTGCACATTAGAGCGTCATGCACGTGCGCAGTGAAAGCGTTTTTCTTTTTCATTTGGGGATCGTACCTATCCAGTTTTCCGGCTGTCCATTTGATAATAGCTGACCTATTACTTTTTTTTGGTGTCCTAAAAGACTTTCGTTCTGGGCTATCACATTTGTCAAATCAGCTGTAAGCGTATAGACATAAGTATACCATCCTGGCTTTCGTGATGGTTAGATACGAGCTGTTGATCAATACATGCGTCCGCCTATAATATACCTAATATACCTTGTCCTTTATTTTCGTAGGACAATACTCTTAGTCCTGTATTTTCGAAGACCATTCTTAAGCCTTTATTGTTTTTCTCGCGTGTGCTCAATTGGGGTTGTCTGCCAAACCCCTCATATTCGTCATTCCATCCCCGCGTAGTATCCAGAGCTTACCTACATATCTATCTACATGGCTTTGTTTTCCTTGCTTACTGCTGGGGTTTCCAGAGCACAGGCATCTCTCGTCCACTATACCGATGAAGGATGCTCCTCGGCCAATACAGCTACTTCGACAAATTATTCTTTGTCATGGCTCGACCTGTCCCCCCCCCCCCACTTCGGTAGTTGGTGTGCGTCTGTACTAGATTTGAGTACATAGCTGATACCTATTAGCTTCACCGTCTCATCTACCACTCCGTATAAGCTCAGGCAGTGCTAAGCACATGACCTTGTGTGCGTGTTGTGTACATATGCGCGAATGATATGTCTTGATCACCGTGTATGCAGGGCGTCAATATGTCCCTATAAACAATACTGGTAATGTACCCCTGTAGAGACTTATTTGCCAGCCACGACTCAACTATCTCCGATGGCTTGCATTCCCACACCACCGCAGTCGCCTTTTCCAACATCACGTTCTACCCAGATAAGACACCCGTCCTATCAAACTATGCGACTGTGCTTTAGGCACTGGCATACAAGGAGCCGAAGACACACTCGGCTGTGGTCCGCATCATGCTACCGGCTGCTATCTTACGCGACGTGCCTGTAACAGCACCCCATGGGCATTAGTTCACACCCACGGCCTGTGCCACTGATCGCTTTCTCCTGTCTGCATATCAAATGGTGTGGGTGTTCGGGTGGTATCGATGTGCAGTGCTTTAGTAACGCATGCTGACGTATGCATCTATGGCGTGTTATGCCAAGGCTAGTAACGCACGCTGACGTATGCATCTATGGCGTGTTATGCCAAGACTAGTAACGCATGCTGACGTATGCATCTATGGCGTGTTATGCCAAGGCTAGTAACGCATGCTGACGTATGCCTCTATGGCTTGTTATGCCAAGGCTAGTAACGCATGCTGACGTAGGCATCTATGGCGTGTTATGCCAAGGCTAGTAACGCATGCTGACGTATGCATCTACGGCGTGTTATACCAAGGCTATCTGTACAGGTGACGTGCCGCATATCAATCGAAAGTCCATGTGGACATGTGATCGAATGAGCTTCTCATGGCGGTGTAGATCGTGCCTGTTTCTCTGAGGTGTTGGGAATGTAGCTGCAGCTTCAACTGCGTCTGCATCTTCCTCTGCCCCTTCATGACCTACTTGGCATTTCCTTTTAAATCCTTTCAGTTGTGTGCACAACTACAAGCCATGAAACGTGCTCAACTCACGTACATAACAATCTGTGTGCGCTTACAGTTATACATACGCTATACCCTCAGTATATATATTCATAAATAAATTTTGCATTAACGAAGTAGCCAGGGTCAGCGAAGCCTGGTATGAGAGCACGGTGGAGTAGAAAGAGGATTGGATACAGAACCAATTTATATTCAAAGACGCAACGAAAAACACTTCGATATTGACCTGATTTGATGGACCCAAACTCACACGACACGACAAACAGGAATCAGGCTAGTTTGTAGTGCTACCATACACTTCGTCACACGAATCACGTCTGCGTGTGTGTGGCGTATGTTCAGTCAAATGCATACCGTGTTTGATTGGTCCCCCAGGTCACTTGATTAGGTTGTCCGGAGGTGTAGGAGGTTCCGACCGTGAAGGTAAGGCCGTGCTGTGGTAGGTAAAAGATAGGTTAACAAATAAATATATACATATATACATACACACACACACACACACACGCACACACACACACACACACACACATATATATATTTATATATATATAAATATATAAATATAAATATAAATATAAACATATGTAAACATATATAAACACACACACACACACACACACACACACACATTATATATATATATATATATATAGGACTGCGCTAAGACTAAGGGGGTGTTGAATACAGAAAGGTGCAAAGGGATGGTTTCTCGAAGTGTATCATGTTGCACGGGGGATGGGGACATATCAAGCTGAATAAAGTTGTGAGGGTGTGACTTATACAAGCTAGGAACAGATTATTTTCTGTGTTGGATGTGAATACGCGAAGCATGTAGGGACATATACTTCAAATGAAAGCCGACTCAACTCTACCTGCCAGGTGCGAATGCATTGTTTCCCATCACATCAGACTTTCTAGTACCAGGCATGGGAAGAGCAGCTTTCGGCTTGACAGAAAAAGAACATCTACATAGTTAGAACACACACGCACACACAAACACACGAACACACGAACACACACACACACACGCACACACACACACACACACACACACACACACATATATATATATATACATATATACATACATGCCTGTAAACAACGACAGGCTTCATCGAATCTGCACATAGGGAACAAAGTCGTGAATGAAAACTACTCACAGGCATGTGATTATAAAAACCTATACATGCCGTCAAATTCGAGACGTTCAAATCGATCACCCAACAAGTTAATACCTCAAACGCGTACAACAGTCGATTCAGCAGCATCTTGCGATCCCGATTGTCCGGCAAGTAGGCGATCCGTCGTGCTCCCTGATGTTTCACACCTGGTGAGGGGTGGTACTGTTGCTGCATACCCGCGGAAAACGGATACATCTTGTATTGCATCGTCCCAGACGGCTGGGTGCCCCTCATCCCCTGCGCCACTGGTGCTCGGCAGATAGCACACGCCATACTATTCGCTAGGGCTGCGGCCAGACACCCCTCGTGGTACTGATGTGCACAAGCCTTCAGCGCCACACAAACCCGCGCACGCTCCTGGTCTCCATCCACATCGATAGAGCTTCTATCCGACGCAGACGTGGTCGTATCTGGCTCATGCGGCATTCGCGTTGGTGCCAGATCCTCCAGACACACCATGCAAGGCTCGTTGCTGATGTCCTGTGCACGGACGCGCTGGTATGGATTGCTGTGAAGACTAGCAAGGCTAATGGGACACGCGTACATGGCTGTGCCGCCCAGTGGACTGTGGGTGGTGCACAAGGGGTACCTACCAGACCAGACAGGGTACCTGTCAGACCAGACAGGGGCTGGTTGACCCCGGGCAGTCGGTTCTGCGGTGCAGTGCTGTGGGTGACACCGTGGTGCTTCCACTGTTGCAGAGTAATTTCTGGCCAGTGCTGTGGGTGACACCGCGGTGCTTCCACTGTTGCAGAGTAATTTCTGGCAAAATCGCACCGGGTGCAGTCACTGTAGTGTCAGTGTCAGTGTCAGTGGGCATAGGCTTATGGACAGGCACAGGGCCAGGCGCACAATCCAGAGCATCTACGTCAATTACTTGGTTGGTGTGTGTGGGCGGGGGGTGGCGGTGGCTTGAAGGTCTTCTGGTAGCTGGTTAAGCACAGATTCAATAGCCTTGAATAGGGCTTCATGGTAACTCTAACTCCAGAGCAGTTCACGTCCGGTCTAAAAGGGTGGGGTGTGGGGGGTGTATGGTGGGATTTACTTTTGGAATAGTAAAAAGCTCAGCTAGGTAGACATGCACTCGAGCTGGAGGTCGTACGTAGAGATGCGCATACACAGATATGAAGCACATATACCAAAAGTCTATACACAGGGACAGAACGATACCTTTTATATTATGGCCGTGGCACACATACACAAACTCATCGCACTATTCGGCAATACCCCTCCTCATCTGAATTGACCCATAAAATCCACAACAAAATACATACCAAAAAGAACACACGTGCACATTACACGTGTACAATACACGGTGTATTTGTACATGCACAGGCAACATACGCCGTCCCACACTCCAGAAAACACACACGACTGGGAGAGGGTTACCTCAGTCGTGAGTAGCTCGGGCACAAAGCTCCACACCGGGGCTATCTGATCGGATGATTTAAGAACAATCTGCGTATTCAGCGGTTGATTCCTACAAAAACCTGACATATAGCACAAGAGAGCATGGTGTATACAGTCCATGCGATCAGCGACGAAGCCACAACAGCGAACCAACCAGTTCATGGGTATTAAAGTGAGCGACAGAGTGATTTAACTGCCCCGCGCGCGAGTATCAATGACCTCAGGGTATGGTACTGTATGTACCGAACACGCGCAACTGGGTAATCTAATCGCACACACACGAAGCCTTAAGGGAGCATGTGCAGCCAAGAAAGGGGTCGCTCCAAAGCTATACCTCAAACATGCCCGCGGCACACGCGGACATCCCATACACATCGAGCAAGCGCACAATCTTAGCACAAAACCCCATACGACAGACACAACACATAGCTATGTAGATACATGTCTATGAATCTGAGCTATGTAGGTATATGTCTATGAA